TTTTTTTCCAGAAAATCAGGAATTTGCTCGGCCAAGAAACCGTAAATTCGGCTTAAAAGGGAGAAAAGAAATAAATGCTTAAAGGGAAAGGGAGGAAAAAAAAAAAAATTAAAAAAGGGAATGACTGAAGGCTTGCAAAGCTTTGTTTGTTTGTGATAAAGCTCAGCTGTACTCAAGCTGTCCCAGGCTGGTGACATTTCCCTGCGGTGGCACCACGGGGAGTGGCCAGCAAGGGGGGGTCTGTCAACATTTTATCAGCACCGAGTGCTCCCAGGGCTGGAGGAGGCACAAAAGATCCTTTTCCACGGGATGGGAAGGCTCTGACTCACAGCACATTATTGGGATTTTACAAACCACATCACACACAAAGAGCCAGGGGAGAGGACGTGGCACCCAAAATCTGCAGCTCTCAGTGGGGGAAACGTCTCCCCAAAAAGCTCTTTGGGATTTATGGAATAAAATGAGGAGTGCTGGTGTGGATATTGAGGGTCTATAAGCCAGGAATTGATAAAATGAGGGGAAAAAAATCCGATTAGCCAACAGCAAACTCACCCTGTGTCTTTATTTCTATCTAAAATAAAAGCAGGGTGTAAAATTAAACCTCAAGGGCTCCAAGGTGGGCAGAGCTTTGCAGGGAGCAGCAGGAGAGGAGGAAAATGGGATGGATGGAATCGAGGCACAGGCTGCCTGCAGTGCTCACCAGTCCTTGGCCACAATCCCACAGGAAATGCAGGATGGAGCCCCCATATGCCTGGGAAAACCTGGGAATATCCCAAAATTTCCGAGGTTTCCATAAACCAGGGAGGAGGCAGAGCCACGTGCACCCTCCATAAACCCCCTCATCCCTCCCTGGGGGATGGAATTTGATCGTCCCTGCTGCTGGAAGAGCTAATCCCAGCCTCCCTGGATGGGATAAACCCACATTCCAGGACAAGGATGTCACAGGGACCTCCCCGGCTGGGGCCCTGCACTCAGAGCTCAGGAGGCTCCCACAACCTTCACCAGGGTCACCCCAAAACCTCCCAGCCCCAGTCCTTCATTGCTCGTGGGGCTGGGATGGAATTCCCAGATTTGCTGGGGCTGCCCCTGGATCCCGGGGAATGTCCAAGGCCAGGTTGGATCCACCTGGGACAGCCATGGATGGGATTTAGGATCCTTCCAAACCAAACCAACCAGAAGTTATTGGGTGAGTGGATGGGTAGATAACAGTAATAAAAAAAATATTACAAAACAGTAATAGATAGGTAATAAAATAAATAAAAAGAATTCATAATAATAATAATAATAATAAAATAACCCATTGCAGGATTCTGAAGCCACTCTGCTCTAGGGCCAGGCTGGGAGAGTTGGGAATGTCCCAGGTGGATCCAAGCTGGCCTTGGGCACTGCCAGGGATCCAGGGGCAGCCCCAGCAAATCTGGGAATTGCAGCCCAGGCAGGAATTCCTTCCCAAGATCCCAGCCCAATCTCCCCTTTCCCAGTGGGAGCCATTCCCTGGGTCCTGTCCCTCCAGGCCTTGTCCCCAATTCCAGCTCTCCTGGAGCCCCTGCAGGGACTCTGAGCATTCCCTGCAATTTTCCCTTCTCCAGGGGAACATTCCCAGCTCTCCAGAACCCTGGAAGCATTTCCACGACCTCCTCTGGACTCATTCCAACACTCCCACTTTGTATTTTCCACCCCAGGCTCTGAGATGTGTCCAAACAAACCCTTTTTGGAGGGTTAAGGCTGCTCCAACCTTCCAGGTCCAATTTTTCCAGTCCCTTCCCCACGTGTGCATCCCTGGCCCCACACGAGCTCCCAGCCCATGGGGGACCCTCGGTAGCTCCAAACCCAAACCCAAACCCTCCCAGAGCTGCAGCTGCACCAGCAGCCCCACGAGTGCTGGAAAAGCTCCTCAATAACCCCTTGGAAAAAAAAAAAAAAAAAAAAAAAAAAAATCGCATTTATGGGGCCAGCGCCCCCTGTGTGAAACAGCCAGGCGGGCACAGGTGGCTGATAAAAGTGGATTTTTTTTTTTTTTTTTTTTTTTTTTTTTTAATATATATAAAGAAATTTATAAGAGTTGAGCAAAGCTCGCAGCCTTTTAATTGCATGTCAAATGCTGGGCTCGGAGAACTAAACCAGATTCCCTGCAGGCTGTGCCAAGTGCTTCCAGATATTCCGTGTCTGGAGAGGATCCTGCTGCTACCAAAGGGTTAAAATTCAGCTTCTGAGGCCGGGGGAAGTTTGAAGGCAATGCCACCAAGCCTGAAGGAAAGCAGAGAAGGTTTCTGCCAGCTTTGTTCCAAATAAAAGGTTATTAAAAACAGCCCCAGCCGCTGTTAACAGGAACAACCCGACGAGGAGACGTTTACAAAGCAGCTGAACTTGTAAATAAATGGAATTAATACCCAGCAAATTCCTTTGATCCACAGGACACGAATTCCCTTTCCCTGCAGATCTGTTCATTAATAGTTCCATGTTCCACTTGTGTCACCCACCAGCGAGTCCAAAGGAAAACGATTCAAGTCACAAAGAGATCTCCAGTTTTTCCTGGGCCATTGGAATTCTGGTCACAAACATTTCCAGCTCTTCCTGTGCCAGAGGATTTCTGGTCACAAAGAGATCTCCAGTTTTTCTAGTTCCAGTGGATTTCTGGTAACAAAGAGATCTCAAATTTTTCCAGTGTCAGTGGATTTCTGGTCACAAAGAGATCTCCAGGTTCTTCCAGAAGATTTCAGGTCACAAAAAAAAAAAATCTCCAGTTCTTCGGGTGCATTTCTGGACACAAAGAGATCTCCTGTGCCAGAGGATTTCTGGTCACAGAGAAATCTCCAGGTTCTTCCAGTGCCAGAGGATTTCTGGTCACAAAATGATCTCAGATTTTTCCAGTGTCAGTGGATTTCTGGTCACAAAATGATCTCAGATTTTTCCAGTGTCAGTGGATTTCTGGTCACAGAGAGATCTCCAGTTCTGGGGAAAGAGAGATGTGAACCTCCATGGCCACATCAGCCAGTGGAGAAGGGAATGTTGGTCCAGAGGGCAAAATAACAGGAGGGACAGATTATCAGAGCAATAAATGCCATGGAATCATGGAATGGTTTCAGTGGGGAAGGATCTTCAAGATGATCCAGGGCCACCCCATCCATGTTCAGGGACACCTCAGCTGTCCCAGGTGGATCCAACCTGGCCTTGGGCACTGCCAGGGATCCAGGGGCAGCCCCAGCAAATCTGGGAATTGCATCCCAGGCAGGAATTCCTTCCCAAGATCCCATGGAAGGTTCCAGTCCCTGTCCCAGAGCCCAGCTCAGACACCCCCAAAGCAGCTCTGGAGTCAAATTTGCTTCCTTTGCTCAATCCAGGACATCTCCAAAGGCTCTGGGAAGTTCTCCTGAAGGACAAGGCCAGGATTGAGACATCCAGAGCCTGGCCTGAGCAGGATCCTGAGGACAAGACAACAATCCCAGCAAACCCCAAACACTCAGCACTGCTCTGGGAAGCGTTTCCATCCCTGCCTGGAAATTCTGACACCCAGAGCCAAGAGGGAACAGCTTCCCAACTGCTCTGGGAAGCTGAAAACATGGGGAAAAAAAAACCCCAACCCTGGAGCAGAGGATGCTCCAAGAGGAAAACTCTGCTCGTTTTTAACGGGCACACAAAGGGGAAGCTGCACAGGGGGATGGGGGTCAGCAGGGAAACAGCTGGAAATGGAATTTTACCTGCACAGGGAAGCACAATTCCCTCAGCATCCTGGATTCTGGGAGGAGCTGGAAGCACCTCCAGGCACCTCCTGCTCCTCCTTCTCTGCACACAGGAGCAGATCCTGTCCCAAACCTCTCCCCATCCCAGCATCTCCTGCCATTCCCTGAAAACTGAGCCACCATTCCCTGAAAACTGAGCCACCATTCCCTGAAAACCAAATCACCATTCCCTGAAAACTGAGCCACCATTCCCTGAAAACTGAGCCACCATCCCATGAAAACTGAGCCACCATCCCATGAAAACCAAATCACCATTCCCTGAAAATCAAACCACACAAAAGGGATTTGGGAGACATTGCCAAAAATGGGATTTGGGAGCCATTCCCAAAAATGGGATTTGGGAGCCATTCCCAAAAATGGGATTTTGGCCCATCTGGATCCCTGCTGCACGAGGTCCCAGGTTTTCAAGTTTTCCTCCCCTGGACCAAAAACCCAAATCCTGAGCCCAGGGCCTTTGGGGTGGCACTGGGAGCTGGGGGTGCCCAGCTGTGACCTCGGCACAGTTTTGGGATTTTGCCACACCCAGGTGAGCACCTGGAGCCCCTGGCCTGGCTCTGGGCACCCTGGCACAGCCCTTGGCACGGGAAGGGGATCTCAGGTCCCATTCCCTCACCCCACTGGGTCTGGGGGACACCAGGAATGCTCCCAAAAACCTCCTGGGATTTCTCCACATCTCCAGAGCCCCGTGGCAGAGCACAGACACGTCAAACCCATGGAATTTTTAGGAGGAGGAACCTGGGAAAACCCAAAAAAAGTCCATTTAAAAGGTCCCTGAGCAGCCACATCACAATGGTGTGAATTTATCATCCTGGGGCAGCAGATCCTGATGGGAGCCATTCCCAGGGATTTTTTTGAGGTGATTCCATCCCTGAGCTCCTCCACACCAAACCAGGCACAAACTGAGTTTATTGTGGGGTCAAAAATCCCAGAACAACTTCCCAATCCCGAAATGCAAACCGGGAGAAGCAAGAGCAGGGAAAATCACAGTGCCCAACCCAAAAATCACAGCTCAGGAGAAATGAAATGAGGATCACAGCTCCCCTTTCCCAGCTAAAAATCCCACAAACACAACAGAAATTCCTGATGGCTCAAAGGAAGGAGCAAGGGGGCACTCCTGCCTCCACCTGGCACTTTCCCTTTGCCTAATTATTAATTATTAATTATTAATTCTATCCCAGGGGTTGGAAGATGCCCAAGGCCAGGCTGGATTTGGTTTGGAGCACCCTGGGATGTGGAAATTGTCCCTGCTCACAGCACAGAGCTGGAGCTGGATGATCTTTAAGGCTCCTCCCAACCCAAACCATTCCATGATTGGAAGATAAAGGATTTATTTCCAACACCCTCTGAATTCTAAGATTTTTTTTTTTTTTTTAAAAAGGTCTAAAAGGCAACCACACAAAAAGCTGGGCCAACACATGACTGCCCTGGAATTCAACTTTGGATTTTCCTCTGGAGTTCAACTTTGGATTTTCCAGCCATGCCCAGGGAACGTGGATCCACTGCTGGGATCCCTCAGGCCCCACAGATGCTGAAATAAAAAAAGAGGCCATGATTTAGCAGTTTCATTTCTGAGGTCATGAAAGGAATTGAGAGGGATGCCCATTTATTAATAAACTTCCTATGGAGTATAAATTTTCCAGCACGGACTTAAAGGCACAGAATTCCTGTTAAATAAACAGAGAAACCTTCCCAGAACGCCAGGAAACGGGGAATAAAAAGTTCTTTTATGACAATAAGCACATTTGCACTGCAGTGCTGTGATGTGGGAGGGAGCAGAACCTGCTGAGATCTGCACAAAGCCCTCAGCACCTCCCCAGATGTGCCCTGCACTTTCCAGATGTTCCCGGGGCCTCTGGCTGCTTTTCCCATCCGTGCAGGGAGCCCAGGGATCACATTGCACCTCAAGCTCCTGGTCTGACATCTCACCCCAAAAACCTTTCCCAGCTCTCAGATCATTCCCATCTCCTCCTACTCCTTTTTCCTGCAGTTCCCATCCCATGGATCCCATCCCATCCCATCCCTGGTACCACCTGGGGTCCCAAAACAAGAGCAGGGGGTGGCAGGGGGTGACAGACCCTACAGAATGTCCCCTCCTCCTGCCTTTGGGATTCCTCACACCTCATTCTCAGAACCTCAAGATTCTGGGTGACATCTCACCCCAAAAATCATTCCCAGTTCTCAGATCATTCCCATCTCCTCCTACTCCTTTTCCCATCCCATCCCAAGACATCCCTGGTACCCTTGGGGTCCCAGAGCACGAGCAGGGGGTGGCAGGGGGTGACAAACCCCACAAAATGTCCCCTCCTCCTGCCTTTGGGATTCCTCACACCTCATTCTCAGAACCTCAAGCTTCTGGGTGACATCTCACCCCAAAAACCATTCCCAGTTCTCAGATCATTCCCATCTCCTCTTTTTTCCTGTAGTTCCCATCCCATCCCATCCCTGGTATCACTCAGGGTCCCAGTGCACAAACAGGGGGTGGCAGGGGGTGACAGATCCCACAAAATGTCCCCTCCTCCTGCCTTTGGGATTCTTCACACCTCACCCCATAAGCTCCTGGCCTCACATCTCACCCCCAAAACCTTTCCCAGTTCTCAGATCATTCCCATCTCCTCCTACTCCTTTTCCCATCCCATCCCCGGTACCACTCAGGGTCCCAAAACAAGAGCAGGGGGTGGCAGGGGGTGACAGACCCCACAAAATGTCCCCTCCTGCTGCCCCTGGGATTCCTCACACCTCACCCCCAGAGCCCAGAGAGCGAAGCAAACCCCAGAGGTCCCAAACTTTCACAGGTTGGACTTGATGATCTCGGAGAACTTTGGGGGCCGAGATGGGAGCGGAGGCTCGGGCTCGGGGCAGACACTGGGGGAGGTTTTGTCTCAAAAAGTTTCCAGATCAAACACCAGGGGCAAGACACGGATCCCCTGCCCAGGGAGGGCTGCTCAACACCCTTAAAATAACACATTTTGGGGCCAAAGCTTAATGAAAAAATAGCAGGGGCTTCCAGAGCCGGCTGAGGTTTTCATCAGCACAAAACAAAAAAATTCTCCTCCCCGTTTTTTTTGGTTTTTTTTTTTTTTTTTTTTCCTCGAGGAGGTTAAACAGAGGATGCTGAGGGCAGAATTCCCACTGTTCATCCAGCTCCTCCTTGCCAGGGGGATTGGGGATGGGTGTGAAAACCTCCTAAATCCTGAGAGCAGCTAAACCAAGGCATTGACACCTCTCCAATCCATCATTTCAGCATCCTGGGGGTTGTGGGAGCCTCTTCCCAAAATCCTGCAAGCCCAAGTCCCTTCCCATCTCTCCAGCCCCAAGGATGCATTTCCTCTCCCCTAAGACTTTAATATCCCAAGCAGACGAGCAGCAGGAGCCAAGATTAAGGAGGTCTCGTTCCTAAATTCGACTGGAAAATCCAATTCCTGCTCCCCAAACCTGCCCAGGAGCAGAAATCCCCATCCCATTATCCCCACCCCGCCGTGGAAATCCTCCCAGCCACCAGAGTGACCTTTCCTGCTGCATCCAAGGCTGGAAAATTCCCATTTTTTAATAACCAGCCTTATTTTGACTTGTTAAGGCAAACCCCCGGAACGGGAGCTGGAAGCAGCAGGAATTTCAGCTCCCAGGGTGCCTCTGGAAGTGGCAGGGCAGGATAAATCCCAGTCCCTGCTGAGCTGAGCTTCCAGAGGCTCATCCTTGGCAAGGGGACAAATCCCAGGCAGGGCTGTGTGACCTCTGGAAAACAGGGAAGGCAGCTTGGGGACATTCCCTGTCCAGCATCCAGCTGTGCCCAAACCATCCCAGCATTACCCAGAGCCCAGAAATGTCAGGGATGATGAGGAGGATAATTGGGAACATGACCCAAAGGGAGTTTTTGGAGCTCTGCTCCAGGCCACCAAAAGGCCACCAGGCAGTGTCTGAAGAGTGGGAAATGTCCCCGTGTCCCCTGGAGTGCTGGGAAGAGCTGGCTCCAGTGGCTCTGGAAAAGAGGGAAATGTGGTTGTGTTTAACCAGAGCCCAGGGAGGGCCAGGATTTCCCAATAATGCTGGAATCACCTCGTGCCACGTCCCAGTGATCCCAGCAGGGCCAGGAATCTGCTCCAAGTGGCTGGTGCTGCACAGCCTGGGCACGGCCAAGGGGATGCCATGGGGGTGGAGCAGCCTCGGGGGGCCAGGGATGGGATCCCTGCCCTGGGGGGGATGGAGGGAGGCTGGGAATGGGGATGGGATCAGAGCAGCAGCTCCTGGACAAGCTCCTGGGAAACCTTCACAGCCTGAGGGCTCTGCTGCTCTTCCCATCCCTCATCCCCTCCTCATCCTCCATCCTCTCCTCATCCTCCATTTCCTTCCCATCCCCCATTCCCTCCTCATCCTCCATCTCCTTCTCATTCTTCATCCCCCATTTCCCTCCTCATTCTCCATTTCCTTTCCATTCCCTTCTCATTCCTCATTCCTTCCTCATCTCTCATTCCCAAGTCCCACTGGATCAACCTGTCCCAGCTCTCCAGGACCAACCTCTCCCAATTCCTATGGGATCAGTCTGTCCCAATTAATCTTGGATCAACCTGTCCCAAATTCATTCTCAATCAACCTGTCCCAATTCTCCAGGACCAACTTGTCTCAATTCCCACTGGATCAACCTGTCCCAATTAATCTTGGATCAACCTGTCCCAACTCCTATAGGATCAACCTGTCCCAAATCCCATTGGATACACCTGTTCCAATTCTCATTTTGGATCAACCTGTCCCAAATTCTCTAGGACCAACCTGTCCCAAACTCTCCAGGACCACCCTGTCCCAAATTTCTCCAGGACCAAACCAACCTGTCCCAAATTCTCCAGGACCAAACCAACCTGTCCCAAATTCCTCCAGGACCAAACCAACCTGTCCCAAATTCCTCCAGGACCAAACCAACCTGTCCCAAATTCCTCCAGGACCAACCTGTCCCAAACTCTCCCTGGATCATCCTACCCAAACCCAGATCCCCACTGACCCCATCCCATCTCTGCCTCTCTATCCCATGAGTGATTCCCATGAGTAACTCCAGGTTTTCCTGTCCCTCTGGCAAGGCAGCTCTGCCATTTTTGGCTGTCCCCACCCCTGGGTCCACGGCTGCCTTTTGGCTGGGTTGTTCTTGGCCCCTGGCTCGCAGCAGCTCCATCCCCAGTGGCCTCCTGCACATTCCAGCCTGGAGTGGGATAATAAAGGCCAGCCCGGATATCAGCACGTGTTAATGGGATGTAATTCAGGCCTGGAGCTCAGAGCCCCGTAAAAAAAAAAAAAAAAAAAAAAAAAAAACCAACCCAAACACACACACACACACAGGTTCACAGGGCCAAAGTCCAAGTGGAGTTCAAGTGTGTGCAGCTCCTCTCATCCGCTCCGGGCCCCGTAATTAAACAACGGGATTTGGAATTCCCCCGGAATTTCGGTCATAAAACTCAGACTGGGATCAAACCCAGCAGGGAAGGAGGGCAGGGAGAGCTCCTCGGTGGGATGGGGAGGGCTGAGGATTCGCTGTGAGAGCCGGGAGTGCCTCGGTGAGTCCGTGCCAGGAGGGGCCGGGAGCTGCCGGCCAGATCCTCGCGATTATCACAAAATGAAATGTTCAGCCCCTGTCAGCGGCAGCCTGGCGTTTGTAATGTTACAAAAACCCCATTTCCTCTGCCCTTGTAGCCAGGCCTCCTCCGTTCCCGCTGCTGAAATCAAACAATTTTCAAGGAATTTATATGATCCTAATTTAAACCGAATGCGGGGAGCTGCCAATCCCCGACTCGCCGGGATTCCTGCCAGCTCTGCTCCACATCCCGGCCAGCACACCCAGGGAAAGCGCCCAGCCCCATCCCGGACACCCTACTGGTCATACTGGGAGAGACACCCCGCCCTCAGTGACCCCCACAGCTCCTCCTGCCCCAATCCCAGGGTGGCCCCAAATCGGCTTTTCCAGGGCAAGCGGCACACGGAGCTCCCCTCCCCAATGCACAGATCCCAAACCAGAGAGAACTCTGCTCCCAAAAAAACCTCCTGCAGTCTGCACAGCAACCCCAGAAAACAGCAGGAAATTGGGATTTGGAGAAGCTGGAAGATGCAGAATTCCCTGGATTGTCCAGAGGAAAATTAAAGACAAGGAGATCCAGGAGAGCTGGAATTGGGGACAAGGCCTGGAGGGACAGGACCCAGGGAATGGCTCCCACTGGGAAAGGGGAGATTGGGCTGGGATCTTGGGAAGGAATTCCTGCCTGGGCTGCAATTCCCAGATTTGCTGGGGCTGCCCCTGGATCCCTGGCAGTGCCCAAGGCCAGGTTGGATCCACCTGGGACAGTGGGAATTGTCCCTGAACATGGATGGAATGGGATGGGATGAACTTTAAGGTCCCTTCCATCCCAAATCATTCCATGATTCCATGAAAACCACGCACAAGCTGCTCCCAGCTCTGGCTCCCACAGGATGAAGAACCAATTTCCTCCTCGTTATTTCCAGGGAATTTGAGTGATCCCTCATTCCTGGCTGCTCCCATCCCTGAATTTGGGCAGGGCAGGAGCAGCCAATCCCCAGCACCCCCAGAGCCTGTCTGGGTCCTCCAGATGGGAATACTGGGAGGAGGAGGAGGAGGAGGAGGAAGGGCTGGAATTGGTGAGGAAAACACCAGGAGAAGCCACAGGATTCCCTCAGAGTGGGAGATGGAGAAGGAACAGAGTAGGAGTGACAGGAAGAACAGGAAAAGCATCCCTGTGGATTGGGAAGGGATGGAAACAAAGGTACAGAAGTTTCTCCAACCAGAAGAGCAAAAACAGGGGCTGAAATGATGGAAATTTCTGCTGATTTTCCACCTAAAATCCACAAACGTGGCTGGATGTCCACAGCCCTCCCCATCCATCAGCACAGAGATTGGAATCATCTCCCAAAATCCTGAACATGGAACTGGAAAGTCCCAGACAACACCTCCACCCTGTGATGTCCCTAAAACTGAGAAATATCCTTCAGGGGATAAAAAAAATATTAAATAATTACATCAAGTGTTCCCTGCATTCAATGGACACCAAAAAAAAAATTCAATTCCTGTTCCTTCCCAGCCACAGGGACCAAGGAAAGATCTTCTTCCACAAGGAACTAAAGGAGAATTTTTATAGGGAATTCTGCTCTAGGAATTGCTGCCTCAGGTGAACCCAGCACCAGACATCACCCCCGTGCACATCTGGATGCACATCTGGATTGGGGAGGAAGTTTAATCTGAATAAAAAGTTTGCTGAACACTCAGGTGCCCTCCCCACAGCTCCATTCCATGGGGGAAAGCTGAGTTTGCTTTCCCAAAAAAAAAAAAAAAAACCAGGAAGGAGCTGGGAAAGTGAAAAGGCACTGAAATACAGGGAATTAAATTAATTCATCATCTCCTCAAGTCAGAGAGAGGTTGGGGGGTTGTAAAAGACCAAACTGAGTTTGTCTCTGCCCAAAAACACAAGAGCAGAATCCCAGCAGCTCCTGGAGAATTCCAGCCAAGTCCTTCCCATCACTCAGCATTCCCAGGCATCCAGGGAGGATCTCACAGAATTCCCACAAATTCTGAATTTGCTGGGATGAGATCAAATCCAAATATTCCATGGGAAACGGTGGGAAAGGCAATTCCTGATTTAAGGAATTTTCAGTTCATCAGCTCATCCTTCACAGACACAAACACCAGAAAAGGCAAATCAGGCACAGGCCAGGTTTGGGTAGGATTTAAAACCAGTTTTAGGACGCAGAATTCATGGAATTGCAGAGCACAAAGTCTTGTTTTTTTTATCTCAAAACTGGGAAATCAACCCAATGTCTCCAAGGTCTCCCAGCAGCACCAATTCCCTGTGCAGGGAAGTGGAAAATGGAGTTTTGGAAAATGGAGTTGTGGAAAATACGAGTGGAAAATGGAATTATGGAGAGCTACACCCCAGCTACACCCCCCAGAATGCCCAAAAATCAAAGAAAACTGCAGCTGGGAGAAGCCAACCCCACAACAGATCCTCACTTCTCAACGGCCTAAAATTCAGGATAAAACTCTGGGAGCAACCGAGAAAGGAACAACCATTCTTCACCCAGTATCAAAATCCCAAACTCAAATCACTGCCTTGGGCTGGAAAAGTAAAATTCCATGGAATGAGGGAACCTCCAACCCCTCCCAAAACTCCCAGGAAAAACCATTGAGGAATGAATGCTTGTAACATTAACAGAACACAACAGAATCCCAAACTCCATCACTGTTTTAGCTTGGAAAAGCAGAATTCAATGGAATGAAGGAACCTCTAATCCCTCCCAAAACTCCCAGGAACAACCACTGAGGAATGGTTCTAACATCAACACAACAGAACAGAATTCCAAATTCAATCACCATTCCTCACCCAATAACAGAATCCCAAACTCAGTCAATGTTTTAGCTTGGAAAAACAGAATTTCATGGAATGAAGGAGCCTCCAACCCCTCCCAAAACTCCCAGGAAAAACCAGGAAAGGAACAACCATTCCTCACCCAATAACAGAATCCCAAACTCAGTCACTCTTTTGGGTTGGAAAAGCAGAATTCCATGGAACAAAGGAACCTCCAAACCCTTCCAAAACTCCCAGGAACAACCAGGGAAGGAAAAACCATTGAGGAACATCAACAGAACAGAATCCCAAACCCAGTCAATGTTTTGGCTCAGAAAAGCAGAATTCCATGGAATGAAGGAGCCTCCAACTCCTCCCAACATTCCAGGAACAATCATTCCTCACCCAGTAACAGAACTCCAAACTCAATCACTGTTTTGGCTTGGAAAACCAGAATTCCACAGAAAAAAAGAACCTCTAAACCCCTCCTAAAACTCCCAGGAACGACCATTCCACACCCAATAAACAAAATCCCAAACTCGGTCGCCGTTTCGGCTCAGAAAACCAGAATTCCACACAATCCACGAGCCTCCAATCCCTCCCAGCATTGTGACATCCCCAAAATCCCCCCCCAAAATCCCCCCAAAATCCCAATCCCACACCTGTTTGATGGCGCTCTCGCCGATCCTGTCCGAGTGCTTGCGGATGCTCTCCAGGAAATCCTTGAGGTCGCCCATGGAGAGCTCCTGGATGTCGTGGCGCAGCCGGGGGATGGTGGCCAGCATCACCTGGCAGAAGCGGTAGTGGCTCACCTGGGGCAGGAAGGTGTGCTCCAGGTGCTCCAGGGTCTTCAGGGCAGGGTAGTGCCTGCAGGGGGAAGAGGGATAGATATGGGATTTGGGGTGGGAGGGTTAGAACCCGGGGTTAGAGCGATCCTAAAAATTGTGTGGGATGGAGGGGGTGGGGAAGGAAGGTTGGGTGTGGCCTGGGAATGAATATTGGGGTGGTTTTTTTTTTTATTTCTAGATCGTGTGAAGCTGCACCTGTGTAACCATCACGTGGTAAGTGATGAGATTGTTAAATGTAACTATTGGTAATTAAATATCATTATTGTTTAATTGTAATAAGAATCCTGGGAAACAATGGAATCACATCAAGAATCCTGGGAAACAATGGAATCACATCAAGAATCCTGGGAAAGATGGAATCATATCAAGAATCATGGGAAACATGGAATCATATCAAGAATCCTGGGAAAGATGGAATCACATCAAGAATCCTGGGAAAGATGGAATCACATCAAGAATCCTGGGAAACAATGGAATCACATCAAGATTCATGGGAAGCAATGGAATCACATCAAGAATCATGGGAAACAAGGGAATCCTATCAAGAATCCTTGGAAAGATGGAATCCCATCAAGAATCCTGGGAAAGATGGAATCATATCAAGAATCATAAGAAAGAATATTTGGGGGGGGGTTTAATGAAAATGACAAGAATTCATGCTTGGATAGGATCAATGCATGCAACAGAACAATATTTAATAATTAAATGTAATAATTAATATATGGTTATATAACGAAATGGGTATAAAACCACAGCCACGTGGGAGTGAGATTTGGGTGTGCAGCCCCTGATTCCCAGAGCTCTTCAATAAAAGCTCCTGATTTTGTTCATTTATTCATTCTGGGATTTTGTGTTTCAACAGGAAGAGATTGCCAAGGTCATGGAGTCTGAGCACAGCTCATCTGAACTTGGAAAAAATCATTTCAAAGGAAGCAGCCAGGAAGCAGAGAGGATTTAATAAAATAATATTTTTTATATATATGTGTGTGTGTGTATATATATGAATAGAATTATTATTATGATCTCATATATACATTATATTATTTTGGTGTTTTCCACCATTTTCCACACATCTCAGCCATGGCAGAAAAGTTTTTCTGTTCCTTCCTTAAATCTTTGCCAAGGGCAGAGAAATCCTGTGTGTCCACCCTGATCATTCCTCTGGGATCAGCTCCAGCTCCTGGCCATGGATTCTCCATTTGGAAAATGCCTGAGCTGGTTTAGAAACATCCCCAAATTCCTGCACAATCAATTTGTGGAGTTGATTCCCCCCCCAAACACAAACCAAAACCAATCCCAAAGCCAACCCTGATGTCAGGAACCAGCCCATGGCTGCCCATCCTGAAATGATCCAGGTGAGACCTGGAGCAGATAAAAACCATGGAATATCCTGTGCTGTGCCTGCTGAATGGAGCCATCAAATCCAGACCAAAAAAAACAAAAAAAAAACAAAAACAAAAACCAAAAACAAAACAAAAACAAAACAAAAACAAAAAACCAAAACCAAAACAAAACAAAAAAAATAAAAAAACCCAGGAAAAAACCAGCCAAGGCTCCCCAATATTCCTTAAATGTGGCTTTCAGCGTGGATTTGTTTCTAAAGGAACCAATCCAAATAAAAGAGGGGAAGAAAGGGATGCAATTCTCAGCTGCAGCCCCTGGAAATGCTGTCCAGAGGGAGGGCAGTTTGTGCATTCCCTGCAGGAATTCCCAGGGATCCACTCCAGCTCTCACCCCACATCTGCCAGCCCCAAAAACCAGCCCTGGGATATTTGGGGAACCCAATTCCCCCACCCTGGAGTGCTCTGGGAAGAGCCAGGAGTTCCTGGGAATGCCAGAGCAGGGATGGGATTGCTTTTCCAGCCTGGCATCCAACTGCAGCCACCTTTTCTCCCTTCCCAGCCCAGTTTGTCACCCCCACAGGGCTCCAAAATTGCTCCAAACAAAGCAGGATTCCCACCAAGATCCCAGATTTTCAGCCCTCAGCAGATGCAGGGTGGGGAAACTCCTGGATTTGCAGCCCAGCATTCCCGAGGTACCAAATGTGGAGGAATTAATTTCTCCAGCACAGGAAATTTTCTCCCCAATTTTCACCACCCCGATGTTTCCAACTCTTTGGATTCCTCCCACATTCCCTGGAATTTCTCAGATTGTGTTAAGATTTGTAGTGTGGAATTCATGGAATGAGATTTAGTTGGTGACATTGCATGCACAATATTGAACTTCCATTAAAAAAACCCAAGGAACATCCCCCAAATCCCCCAAAATCCAAACCTGCTGCCATCCCAATTCTCAGCTGCACCTCAGGAGGCTGAGTGAGGAAAAACAGCCAAAAATCCAGGAAATTTAACCTGGAAAGGCTGGTTTTGAACTGCTGAGATTCTCCTGAAATTATCCAGAACTAAACAAATTCCTTGGGAATCTTCCCATCAAAGCCCAGCTCATCCCAAATTTCTTTATTTACCTCTTGGATTTCATCTGCTCCCGTAGCTTGCTGTACATCTCCAGCACTGGGGAAAGAAGGAAAACACAGCTCTGAGACAGCAGCACACAGCTGGCAATCCAAAAAAAAAAAAAAAACAACAAAAAAAAAACTTGGGAATTCCACCCAAGAGCTCCAAAAAATTGGAATTGCTCACCAGGGAGGCACAGGGTGAGTTTATCCACCGTGGCTGAGATGTTCCTCTGCTGCAGCCTGCACTGCCTCAGCTCCTCCATGGCCAGGAGCAGCTGGAAAAAAAAAAAAAAATGGGAAAAGCTCCTTTAGGATCAGCAAACACATCCCTGGTGTCCACCCCTGGTGAAGGATGAGCCCAAAGCCTGCTCTGATAAAACAGCAAATCCCAGCGAGTGGAACCTCCCCGAATTCCCTGGATTTTGGAGGGAGCAGAGAAACCAAAAGGCATGGAAGTGGCCTTGGAGCTCATCCTGTGGATTCCTAAATGTTATTTATTCCCTTTTCCCATTATTTCAGGCAACTCTTCCAAGTTTTCTGCTGCTCAAAGGCAGGATGTGGCTGCTCGCTCCTGGGGGATTCTCCTCATCCCAAAGCCAACAGGGCTGAGGCTCCAGGAGAAATCCTGGGATGGGGAAAAGGGGAAAACAGGGATACAGGGATAGGCTGGAGAGGGAATTCTCACATCCCAAAGCTAACAGGGATTTTTCAGGGCTGAGGTTCCAAGAGAAAATCCTGGGATGTGGAAAAGAGGAAAACAGGGATACAAGGAAAGGTGGGACAGGGAATTCTCACATCCCAAAGTTAAAAGGGATTATTCAATGTTCAGACTCCAGGAGAAATCCTGGGATGTGGAAAAGGGGAAAACAGGGAGCCAAGGCCAGGCTGGACAGGGAATTTTCCTCATCCCAAAGCTAACAGGGATTTCTCAGGGCTCAGATTCCAAGGGAAAATCCTGAGGATGTGGGGAAGGGAAAAACAGAGATACAAGTAGGGAATTCTCACATCCCAATCTAAAATGGATTTCTCAGGGCTCAGGATCCAAGGGAAAATCCTGGGATGTGGAAAAGGGGAAAACAGGGATACAAGGAAAGGTGGGACAGGGAATTTTCACATCCCAAAGCTAACAGGGATTTTTCAGGGCTAAGGCTCCAGAAAAAAATACTGGGATGTGGAAAAAAGGGGAAAAAAAAGGATACAAGGTCAGGTCGGACAGGAAATTTTCCTCATTCCAAGCTAAAATGGATTTTTCAGTGCTCAGAGCCCAGAAGAAATCCTGGGGATGCAGGAAAAAAGGGGAAATCAGGGAGCCAGGGCCAGGCTGGACAGGGAATTTTCCTCATCCCAAAGCTAACAGGGATTTCTCAGGGCTCAGGGTCCAAGAGAAAATCCTGGGGATGTGAAAAAAGGAAAAAACAAGGATACAAGGAGGGAATTCTCACATTCCAAAGCTAAAATGGATTTCTCAGGGCTCAGATGCCAAGGGAAAATCCTGGGATGTGGAAAAGGGGAAAACAGGGATACAAGGAAAGGTGGGACAGGGAATTCTCACATCCCAAGCTAACAGGGATTTGTCAGGGCTAAGGCTCCAGAAGAAATCCTGGGGATGTAAAAAAGGGGAAAAACAAGGAGACAAGAATGGAATTTTCACATCCCAAAGCTAACAGGGATTTCTCAGTGCTCAGATTCCAAGGGAAAATCCTGGGGATGTGGAAAAAAAAAAGGGGGAAAAAAGGGATCCAAGGCCAGTCTGGAGAGGGAATTCTCCCTCCCTCCCTGCCAGGCCAGGCTGGGATTCCAGCACTCACCTCCTTCCCTTCGTTCTGCAGCTTCCGGTTGGTGTCGGTCACTTGGTTCTGTGGGAATATTGGAAAAGCACATCCCAGAAATCAGGACAATGTTCCTCCCACCCAAACCAACTGGCCATAAACACCACCCCATGGAAAAGCTGTTTATGGCTGGGGCACAAATCCAGGGATTTTCCTCTTTTGCCACTGGAGAAAAGGGGAAGGAATTCACAGGAATGAATTCAGAGATGGGGAAGCCTCAAAATGCTGGAGTTTTCATGGATCCACTTTGGAAAAAATCCAGTTTTGACCTGAGTGAGGGAGGAATTGATTCTCTCCCCCATCACCGAATAAATTCCATTTAGGTTTTAACTCCTTCATATCCCAGCAGGAAAAGATTCTTTACCAGGAGCTTTCCCTAGAAATAATTATTTATATTTATACAAGTCCTTATAAAACTTCCTTTGGGATCTTCATCTCCCTCTGGATGGATCCCAGCTGGTGTAAGATTATTTTTATAAACCTGGGATTAAAAAAAAAAAAAAAAATCACCTTTTTTTTTTTGTTCTGGATTATTCCACCAAGCTGAGGCTCAGAGCTGGAAAATTTCCCACTTGGCAAAGCTGAGGATTCCCTGGAGTGGGAAGAGCCCAGTGGGACCCACAGGAGAACAAAGAGGATTTTGGGAGCTCATCAGGATGGAAAAATCAGGAGTTCTCCCATTATTCAGTCAAGAACTCTGGGAATTCTCCTGAGTTCAGGCAGGGAGGGGTTGGAAACCCTGGGAGAGCTGGAAAAACCAACAAAAAACTTCCAAAGCAACATTCCCAGCAATGAGAATTCCAGCAGCACTGCTCAGGGTTCTGAGATTTCCAGACCATAAAATCCCTTTTTTTTTTTTTTTTTTTTTTTCCTCCAAAATCTCCTCCTGCAGCTCCTAAAGCTGGAAATGTTCATTTTCTACAAAATCCCTGTGAAAGGTTTCTGGTTTGATCCCCACACTGGGAGCTGCTGCTCCATTCCTGCCCCATTTTAGGAACAAAAATGTGTTCCCTGTTTTCCAGAGTTCTGCTCCTTCTGGGAGCAAAACCTTTCCAGGAATTGAGAGACAGAACCCTCAGAGGATTTCCAGGATTGGGAGATCTCACAAAACCACCCAGGAGTTTTGCTTCCTTTGGAATAATTATGGAAACGAGGAATTTGTAATGAATTTTCACCACAAGGAAGGAACAGCACGTGGAGCTCTCCCATTCTCCAGCAGGATGGGGATGGAGGAGCTCCAAAGGGGAATTGGGAAAGTAAAATCCATCCTGGAAAAGAAATCCAGTGGGGAGCAGCTGAGAGAGATGGGAAAGGAGATGGAGAATTCCTGAGGGAAATGAAAAAGGAGATGGAGAACTCCTGAGGAATTGGGGAAGGAGATGGAGAATTCCTGAGGGAAATGGGAAAGGAAATTGAGAATTCCTGGGGGAGATGGGAAAGGAAATTGAGAATTCCTGGGGGAAATGGGAAAGGAAATTGAGAATTCCTGAGGGAAATGGGAAAGGAAATCGAGAATTCCTGAGGGAAATGGGAAAGGAAATTGAGAATTCCTGAGGGAAATGGGAAAGGAAATTGAGAATTCCTGAGGGAAATGGGAAAGGAGAAGGAGAATTCCTGAGGGAGCTGGGAAGGGGCTCAGCCTGGAGAAAAGGAGGCTCAGGGGGGACCTTGTGGCTCTGCCTGAAAATTTGGAGCCGGGTGGGATTTGGGATCTGATCCCAGGGAATAACAGGAAAAGAGGGAACGGCCTCAGGGGAGGCTCAGGGTGGGAATTTGGGAAATTTCTCATGGCAAAGCTGTCCAGAATTGGAAGGGGCAGTGGAGCCTCCATCCCTGGGAGGGTTCAAACCCTGTGGATGTGGTTCCCAAAAATATTTGGGAATGTGGTTCAGTGGGAACATGGTGGTGGTTGGACTTCAAGATCCTGAACAACTTTTCCAACCTTCCCAAATCCACGACCCCACAATCCCCAGATCCTTTCTGAGCTCAGCAGGTCAGACTGAAGGGGAATTTGGGATTCACCCACATTAAATGGATCCAAAAATCCTTTTTTTTTTTTCCTCCCACTATTGGAAAAGATCCTGGGCAGGCATCATTTCCCCTCGGATCCAGATCCCACCAGGAAGGTTTGTGGTGCCCCCAGCAGCAGAACCATCCAACCTCAGCATTCCCTGCAATTCCCACACCCAGCCATGGTGCTCTGGAAAATTCAGCATGGAAAAAAGGATGGAATCTCCAAGATTCCTCCAAGAAAGATTCCTCCAACACTTCCCCAAGATTTCTCCAAAAGATTT